CTGCAAACTTTATCGCTGCCTAATGGGGCATCGGGCCTAGCTCGGCAGTAGAAGTAATTACTGGAGGAAAATCCCCTCGAGTAATGTACCATCTTTATTGCTCAGTTCACGTTTGAGAAGTGCAGATAAATTAGAAGACAATAGATATAATGATTAGATATCGTTAATGTAATATAGGAAACCTTGCAACGTCATTAGTGTATTGGGAGAAGAGATTGTGTATATGCGGGTATTTAAGGTATAATTCACACTTCGAATAGCATTATAAACTGGGCTTACAACGTGTACACTTGAACTTGGATCTGCGCAACACTGTGATCGCGATCTCGAAATTCTGCAAGAACTAACTTTGATATCGTCAGTCGCGACTAAGAGTAGCAAGCGTTGCAAATATTCATGAAGATAAAATCGATTTATTCCAGCACGTAAACGTCAGTTTGTGGGCGGTACCTGAGACCTAGAATATACATTCCGGCTAGGCAGCAGAAGTATGTAAACCCGAGTTAAATACACCCATTATAATTGTATATTAGTAGTCTTTAAGGAGAATGATTTCTATGTTTATTGGAAATGAAAAGAGATTAAAATGCAACTGTCACGATAGACGGTGATTTACTGCTGTGCAGGTTTGATGTTTGTCGAATTCAGTACAGCTGAATCCCAGAGCGGTGTCCGTCAGGTGTTGATGATGATGACAGGACAACAATCACAACATCACTTGCCTCAGCTCACCTTTCAGGAAGTAGCTGAAGGATGAAATGGGACACTTGTCTGCTGGAAATTACGCGTAAATTTCACCACGTTCATATAATGTCGCTGAAGTCGTATCGATGTCACAGCTTAAACACATAACGTTCAACGATTATGGAAACAGACAACCACCCACGACGTCCACACCTACACCGACGACGACAGGTGTTGCCGGAAGTATAAGCAATACGATAGCAAGCCATCTGCCTGAAATGATACACATCAAATTGTCACTCAATAATCCCTACATTTGAAACGATGCTAATAGGTGTTCACGTCAATCTGGTCCCGAAAGGCAAAGTTAAAAATTATCAACCATTTCAGTCCAGAGTACATTCGTTGGTCGTGACGGAAGTGACGACATCGCTATATCACAATACCAGTGTTCCAGCTCTGATGTAAGGACATACATAGAGTGATGGTCTGTGACCAGTATTTCCGTTAGAGTAGATAACCTGGATTGAGTGAAAAGGTATCCCCACCTGATGGTGAGTAAAGAATGCAATATACATGGAATGGTGATATAGGTATCATATTTGAGTTTGGAATTATGTTCATATTTTGTTATGCTCCGTTTTGTTTATGTTTATGTAGGTTTGTTTCGGGAACTTTGATCAGTCAGGTAACTTTTGGATAACGTTTAGAATTGTTGCGCAGATCCAAGTTGAAGTGTAAAGGTTTTAAGCCCAGTTTATAATGCTATTCGAAGTGTGAATTATACCATAAATACCCGCATATACACAATCTCTTCTCCCAATACACTAATGACGTTGCAAGGTTTCCTATATTACATTAACGATATCTAATCATTATATCTATTGTCTTCTAATTTATCTGCACTTCTCAAACGTGAACTGAGTAATAAAGATGGTACATTACTCGAGGGGATTTTCCTCCAGTAATTACTTCTACTGCCGAGCTAGGCCCGATGCCCCATTAGGCAGCGATAAAGTTTGCAGATGAACGAACTCTGGTTATTGTTGAATTATTCTTATATAACATGTGTAATGTTAGCTGCACTGCAAACATGTATCAAACAAGAAGGGTATGAGACTGAGACAAACAGCAAATATGTCCATAAAGTTGTCATTTTGATTAATCCTGTAGGGATTCAGTGATAAAAGTGTTCCCCAGCAACCAATAATTGTCGCACGAGTTTGTAGTTGGTTGGCCATGGTAACTTACAGCAACTAGCTTGACTGAGCGTCATCCCATGGATGGTTGTGGGAATGTATCAGACACTATACTGTCTAGATTACTTACTGGCTGCTGGAATACTGCTGGGGGAGACGTTACAAAACAACAATTCCCCCCCACCCTCCAAAAAAAACAACAAAACAAAACAACAACCAACCAAACTAAAAAACAAAACAACAACAAACAAACAAAAATCAACAACAACAACAACAAAAATTAACAACTGAACAGCCAGCCTGAAAGAGAAAAAGGTAACAAACGTATCTTTTATACAACACTGTCAGCAATACTGGAGATATACAAGTGAAGGCTATATCATGTCACACAGACCTATAGTAGTAATAAGGTAACACAGTGACTTACGTTTGACAAGCATAACCTTTATAATTTCCTAAGAATGAATATTTCCCTGGAACAGAAGAGACGGTTTATTCATGTAATTTATTTAATTTCAGATTAACTATTACTTGTAAAACATTCAAACTAAGATTCTGAGATCTCTGTGGACATCACGTGACGTCAACAAAGCGGTCAATGTTCCCCATGCTTCATGCGCCCGCGCCGTAATAGCGCTGGAATACAGTACGATGCGGCGTAAAACAAAACTCACTCACTCATTCATGTCTAGAGCCATCTCTGCATATGTCCGTAATATCAATTTGCTGTAGGTTGATAGTGTGAAATAACCGCTAGGGTAATCTTATTCAGTCTTAACCCATACAAGGCCTGAAGGTATGTGGAGACAGTGTGATAACTGTCACTAGTATGTCATTCGGAAAGATCCTGTCGTCCAAATAATGTGCTGTTTGATAATATTTGCCCCGCAACAACATGTAATTGGGTTCGTATCGATACCATGCAACTCGGGGCACCTACCTAGCGGCCAGAACAAACACTGGATTAGTGGTCATTACAACTGTGTGCTACTGACAGATAAAAGTCCCATCGCGAGATGTTCTAGTCAGGTACAACGTGTATACACACAGGCGTTGAATAATCCATGAGCTGGCACCAAGAACAGCCATGACGTCATCAGCTGAAATAATCTCATTGTTACCTGAGTCATCGGACCCAGGTGTCTAGTCCGCGTTGGCGGTAGTGGTGCTAGGAATCTTCTCAAAGAACTATTGTTATCAACCGCCATGCCGTGTATATAATCTTCGAGATGAAGAGAATGCATTCTGATATTACCAAATGGTGGAACAACTGTACGGGTAAGATGTAGATTGGCAAGTCACAGTGGAACTTTGATTGGCACTAAAACCACCTATGTAAGTCTAAGTGTGTTTATGGTTAACACGTGCGTTTGATTGTGTGTCTTTGAAACCGGAACTGAAATTTGAATTGTCAGTATGTCTGGTCTGTCGCTTTTGACAGATCATTGTATTTGACTTGTATTTCTGACAGAAATGTCAGGGTTTTTCACATTTCCATATCGACCGGGATCTCCATCTGCATCCAATCCATGAAGCATGCAGACATAGGTGAAGTCTGTAAATGTCACAGTGTCTCATTGCTTTCCTCAGTGTTGTAGCGCTTCACCTGACATACACACTCTTTTTATATGTCTACCGTAGAGTTCCCATGTCTACCGTACAGTCCCAATGTCTACCGTACAGTTTACATGTCTACCGTAGAGTTCCATGTCTACCGTACAGTTCACATGTCTACCGTACAGTCCCAATGTCCCAATGTCTACCGTACAGTCCCAATGTCTACCGTACAGTTTACATGTCTACCGTACAGTTCACATGTCTACCGTATAGTTCACATGTCTACCGTACAGTCCCCATGTCTACCGTACAGTCCCCATGTCTACCGTACAGTTCCTATGTGTACCGTACAGTTCCCATGTCTACCGTACAGTCCCCATGTCTACCGTACAGTTCACATGCCTACCGTACAGTTCACATGCCTACCGTACAGTCCCCATGTCTACCGTACAGTTCCCATGTCTACCGTACAGTCCCCATATCTACCGTACAGTTCACATGCCTACCGTACAGTCCCCATGTCTACCGTACAGTTTCCATGTCTACCGTACAGTTTCCATGTCTACCGTACAGTTCCCATGTCTACCGTAGAGTTCACATGTCTACCGTACAGTTTCCATGTCTACCATACAGTTTACATGTCTACCGTACAGTTCACATGTCCACCATACAGTTCCCATGTCTACCGTACAGTTTACATGTCTACCGTACAGTTCCCATGTCTACCGTACAGTTCCCATGTCTACCGTACAGTTCCCATGTCTACCATACAGTTCACATGTCTACCGTACAGTTCACATGTCTACCGTACAGTTCCCATGTCTACCGTACAGTTTCCATGTCTACCGTACAGTTCACATGCCTACCGTACAGTCCCCATGTCTACCGTACAGTTTCCATGTCTACCGTACAGTTTCCATGTCTACCGTACAGTTCCCATGTCTACCGTAGAGTTCACATGTCTACCGTACAGTTCCCATGTCTACCATACAGTTTACATGTCTACCGTACAGTTCACATGTCCACCATACAGTTCCCATGTCTACCGTACAGTTTACATGTCTACCGTACAGTTCCCATGTCTACCGTACAGTTCCCATGTCTACCGTACAGTTCCCATGTCTACCATACAGTTCACATGTCTACCGTACAGTTCACATGTCTACCGTACAGTTCCAATGTCTACCGTACAGTTTCCATGTCTACCGTACAGTTTACATGTCTACCGTAGAGTATACGTGTCTACCGTACAGTTCCCATGTCTACCGTACAGTTTACATGTCTACCATACAGTTTACATGTCTACCGTACAGTTCACATGTCTACCGGCTTGTCTCCAATACCCAGTCAATTAACACGATAACATCATATGTTTTGAATTGTCGATTAGAGAGGAAATACACAGACGTAGGACGGGCTGTCGATACCGTCAGCTGTTTAACTGCACAGATATTGAAGAGACATAGTTCCGCTGTTGTGTCAAAAACCCAATTAAAATACTTAAATATATTAAACACGCACGCCACGCCAGCTTCCATGAATATGTATTATGTGTTGCAGGTTCCCTGGGATATTTCCACCTGGGTATCGGCAGTCCTGGCCCATCAGACAGCAATGAGGCGGTAAGTGAGCTGTGTGTGGGTGGGATGGGGTAGTGGAGTGGTCAAGGTGTTAGTCACGACGGACACCCAGTCCCATTCCCAATATGGAAACACGGTGTACAACAAGTCTGTACTGTCCCTGTTTTTATCAAACAGTTATTGTTGTTTAGTTTTTGTCAATTTGCTGTCTTACAGCATAATTTATCAAAAGCTTTGTACTAACCGCAATCTATACTACTTAGAGGTTAAGAACACCCGGTGACTATAGTTAATCTTTCATGCCATGGCCGATTAACTACAGTGATCTGAAAGAATAGGGTGCTTCGTGACACCCATACGCACGCACGCACTCACGCACTCACGCACTCACGTACGCACGCACGCACGCATACACACTGGAAGTAAGTAACCTCGGATAGATAGAAGAAGTCAAAGTAGGTAACAGTGAAAGAATTAATTATGCTTGAGTTAATAAAACATCACACGAAAGCACATATGTTGTACATATCAGCCACGATCTCGGAGACGGTTGAGAGTAACACACACACACACACACACACACACACACACACACACACACACACACACACACACACACACACACACACACGCACGCACGCACGCACGCACGCACGCACGCACACGCACACACACACACACATTACCCCGGGGGTCGCGCCGTAGTCCTACACCATGTGTACGCTGTATTCATGTATTCACGGCTTCGGATGGCTTGTGGGGAAGGGGATGCAAATTCATATAATTAGCGTTCTCAAGGGCACACTTCCAAACACGGCGCGAGAGAGTCTGTCCTTGAACTTTTAGTAGAGGAATTTGAAAACAACATAAACAATGCACGATGCTCTGATAGCCTAATTGAAAGTTAAACTTTTACATTTGAACACACAGTTACAACACTTGGTGGAATAAAACCTGTATCCACGCACTGGAAATTGCTGAGTTACTGTTGGGCCGTGGATCCACAAACCGTGGACATTGCAAACGTTACTGAGGTGAACATAACTGCCGAACACTGCAAACTAGAGATCGGAAACACAGCAATACATGACACCCGGATGAAACACATCGTCGCTTGTTACTGTTTTAGAACTTATTGAGCTAGATACCACGCTGTGTGTTATGGATAAGTCATTCAGACATTGTATACTGGGTCAACTTGTCCCTGTTTATCACCCTAAAGCCCTAGCACCAGACAGAGTAACAATAAGTTCCATCTTTAGACGTCTGGCCGGTGATCGTACCACCGATCCCCCACTTTCCAAACAGACGCTCTACCCACTAGACCACGGTCTATCCGCTTTACAACGGTCTGTCCACATGGCATGGGTCTAGCTAGTAGACAGCGGTTTAGGATGCACGTTACTGACGCATAGGTGAGGTGAGGTGAAGTTGGGTTTAACATCGCGCTGGAGAATATTTGGCTCAGATGACGACATGCATGCGTGGTTATGTGTAGGTGCGGCTGCTTGTACTAGCCCAGACTGAAGCTGGTTTTATAGTGCTAGTCCACTGCGATACCATGCCGCAGTGAAGCATGAATACCCCACTCAGACACATTATACTGACTCCGAGCCGACCAGTCCTTGTTGTGCTCCTTATACAGGTATACCGGACCAGCTTATATTTCCTAGAGAAGACCTGCTCCTACACATAATATATAGGTATACCGGACCGGATTATATTTCCTAGTGAAGACCTGCTCCTACACATAATATACAGGTATACCGGACCAGATTATATTTCCTAGTGAAGACCTGCTCCTACACATAATATACAGGTATACCGGACCATTATATTTCCTAGGTATAATATACAGGTATACCGGACCAGCTTATATTTCCTAGTGAAGACCTGCTCCTACACATAATATACACCAGGTATACCGGACCAGCTTATATTTCCTTATATTTCCTAGTGAAGACCTGCTCCTAGGTGAAGATATTTCCTGCCTGCTCCTACACATAATATACACCAGGTATACCGGACCAGCTTATATTTCCTAGTGAAGACCTGCTGCCTGCCTAATATACATACCGGACCAGCTTATATTTCCTAGGAAGACCTACATAATATACAGGTATACCGGACCAGCTTATATTTCCTAGTGAAGACCTGACCAGCTTATATTTCCTAGTGAAGACCTACACATAATAATATACATACCGGACCAGCTATATTTCCGGACCTGCTCCTACATAATAATATACAGGTATTATATATTTCCTAGTGAAGACCTGCTCCTACACATAATATACAGGTATACCGGACCAGCTTATATTTCCTAGTGAAGACCTGCTCCTACACATAATATACAGGTATACCGGACCAGCTTATATTTCCTAGTGAAGACCTGCTCATAATATACCGGACATTATATTTCCTATACCTGCTCTACACATAATATACAGGTATACCGGACCAGCTTATATTTCCTAGACCGGACAGATATTTCCTAGCCTGCCTACACATAATATACAGGTATACCGGACCAGCTTATATTTCCTAGTGAAGACCTGCTCCTACACATAATATACAGGTATACCGGACCAGCTTATATTTCCTAGTGAAGACCTGCTCCTACACATAATATACAGGTATACCGGACCAGCTTATATTTCCTAGAGAAGACCTGCTCCTACACATAATATATAGGTATACCGGACCAGCTTATATTTCCTAGTGAAGACCTGCTCCTACACATAATACACATAATATATAGGTATACCGGACCAGCTTATATTTCCTAGTGAAGACCTGCTCCTACACATAATATACAGGTATACCGGACCAGCTTATATTTCCTAGTGAAGACCTGCTCCTACACATAATATACAGGTTTATTACCCACGTGGTCAACGTATGGGTAGTTGCATACTAATCTCGTACGTCACACGAGTGTCGTATCGCGTTGACCTGTGTCGTAATGACATGACCTGAGATTCTAACGATTTGATTGGATAACCGTTGACCTCTCAATTAGGTCACATTCTGACGTAACTATTTTTTTCATTCATAACAAACACGTGAATTCATTCATTCTTCAACTTAAATGCATTGTGGGAATGTAAACATCGCAAACGTTGCCGTGTCGCTGTTTAATTGTGAGTCGAACTGAGACATTACATCCGTCGAAAAACATAAACGCAATGTTTCCACCAGTGATGTTAGCCAAATGAAGCAACTGCAAACCAAGAAACGGGGTGCTACGGAGCAGTTTACTGTAGGAGGTTGTACGGGGCGATGACAACTGAAATGCATCGGGACGTCGGTTACCAAGGCAGTGACGTCATTACAGTGTGAGGTCATGCAAATATTGTACTACAGTACAAAACTCTTCCGCAACCTCTTTATGAAACCGGTTTCTGTTTGAAACCAAAATATTAACAAAAATACGCTATTTTGTCATTTTAATGCATGTAAGACGTGGGTAATAAATAAAATACCACACTCGGTCTCATTACATACGAATTATACGAAACTCGTAACCTTCCTATGTTATCTGACCTCGCTTTCGCTCGGTCAGATACCATAGGAAGGACACTCGTTTCGTATAATTCGTATGTAATGAGACCGAGTGTAGTATTCTCCATATACCGGACCAGCTTATATTTCCTAGTGAAGACCTGCACATAACTAACATCTTATGTAATGTAGGTAACATGTCACTGCAACTTGTTGCTGCTTTATTACGGAGATTAAATCCTTTATATCTCATCTTCAAATATCTCCACGTGTACAAGCGCTCATACTTGTAGTGTACATCATTATTACATTTAAAAAGACGGAATGGGTTTGTTGCCGAAGTAGTCTGTCACTGTATCCAGGAATAGATGGATTAGTGACAGCTCCGTTTCATTCCAGAAACAATGCACCGCGAATGTTGGGCTATCTGCAGACCTGGCAGCAGAGATTACCAACATCCCTCTGGGGATAGGTGGGATTTCCAGAAATAGTCGGGTCGTGTCCGCAACGTCTGCGACGACACCAAAGACTCACTACGTCCCCGTGGCAGTGCGATAATTGTCTCAGAACCCCCCCAGGACCTGTAACACTTCTGTGATGGGAGGCAGGCAAGGGGGTAATCAAATCTGGCTCTACTCGAACACTTTCTCTGCTGTATATCGACGGATGTCGGCTTATGATGGACATCGATAGCTGACATGATTAAGAAGTCCGGGTATTGTGCACGGAATGTTTATCTGATATGGCGGTAGGGACATTAAACTATTTAACGATGGACGACTTGTGTGGGGAGGTTTGTAAGATACTGGTGTCCGCATGTGGTAAATGACACAGGACTGATAACACTAGTCTCACCACAGTGGGCGGTGTTGGTAAATCCAGTAGTTGGTGTACTCGCGGATGTCCGGGTTGGAGTCACTGATAAAACTTTAAAATCTCTTTTCGTCTTGTGTAGCTCGAGTCCTCAAAGATCAATATAGTAATTAAACGAGATCCCTGGTTCACATTACAGGATGTAGCATATTACCACACCCTTCTGAAATAGCAGGAGCGGTGTGGTAGCCCAGCGGTTAAAGCATTGAAGACCCGGGTTGGATTGCCGACATGGGTACAATGAATGAAGCCCATTTCTGGTGTCCCCCGTCGTGATATTGTTGGAATATTGCTAAAAGCGGCGTAAAACCATACTCATTCACTCTGAAATAACGTGACATCTTGTTGAGAGACTTACATGTGAGCTGAATCAGACCCAGTGTTGTCACTCCCGACTTGTGATCATGTTATGTCTGAAGGACTAAGGTCTACTGGACGAGGTAGTAGGAAGACACGCCACTTCATGTCAGACACTCCACACATCAAAGCGATGCTTGTGAACACACACGGTGTTGAGTCAGACGCACCGTGGGAATCAAGATTAAATGCTAAATTTCTTGTTAAACATAGTGATTGGTTTCCGCTACCGACACTTGTACCCCGGTGGGTGGAAGGGGATGGATGGTAGAAGGAGAGGTTTCGTTGGCCATCATCCTTAGCGTCTT